CCCCCCCCGCCGCCCTAATTGGGGGGAGGGAGCTTCCTTGAAGAAGCGCTCGCGCTGTTCATTCGGTTCCTAGACTTTTAGGGAAAACTTAAATAATGTGCTCTTGCAGCAGTTGCTGTGGCCCTCCCCTATCTCTTTCTCTCCAGATTTTATGTTTTTGTACTTCCATATATCTACGTTTGTACGTGTATATGCCGTCCCCGCCCCACAGACCCACCTTTCTGCAATCTTCTGCTAAGGAATTGGGATGCCTTTCTCTTAGTTGTGAGTTTCCTGTGTTTGAAAAGTTGTTGATGTTTAATTTACCCTTCATAACAAAATGATAGCGCCGCAACAGTCTGGAAGCTCCGGGTCTTCAATGCTATTCTACAAAGGAAGATCCTTTACGGACTTGAAAGTATCGAGCCCACGACGCAAGACGTTTCCAAACTCAATGCTTTTGAAATGAAAGGTCTGGGTCTATTTCTCAAAATTCCACCGACATTCATTGATCGCTGATTAATCAAAGCGTCCTCGACACACTTCGTGACACCTATCACACTCACACGGAAAATTTTGCCAACACTTCGAAAAAAGTTGAAAACTACCTGGTCATAGTTAAGACCCTCACCTTTAGACCCTACAAGGCAAGTTTTGTTTGGTTGTCGCGAAAGCTGGCAAGCTAGCTGAGTTCTTCTTTGCTTTAGCGACTTTGTACTGGGATGAGCTTCGCGCCTTAAAGCTTGATATTTCATGCTAGGCCCCCCCCTTACTGTGATACATCAGGCTAACCGGCCAACCCTCCACCACCTTTCATGGTTCGACTCCCAACTGCGCCACTTGAAGGGATCTACGTCGTGTTCTTTCTGCGAGCCTCTTCTTTCTTTAATATTTGACCGGCGTACGCCGCCGGCCTCCACGGCAAAATCTTGTTGGTTGAGCGCGCGTAGGTTTGGTGTAAACGGTGGTTGTAGTTGGTGTAAGCCGTGGTTGGGTGTAAACGGTGGTTGGTGCAAACCGTGGGCAGGTGTAAACGGTGGTTGGTGTAAACCGCGGTTTGGTGTAAACGGTGGTTGGTGTAAACCATGGTTTGGTGGACTGTGTAAACGGTGTTGTGTGTAAATTTGGTGTAAACGGTGGCTGGTGTACCGTGGTTGGTGTAAACCTTGGCTTGGTGTAAACAGTGGTTGGTGAGAACCGTGGCTTGGTGTAAACGGTGGTTGGTGTAAGCCATGGTTTTGTTTAAATGGTGGTTGGTGTAAACCGTGGTTTGGTGTAAAGGTTGGTTCGTGTAAACCGTGGCTTGGTATGTGGCTGGCGTAAACCGTGGCTTGGTGTAAAGGGTGGCTGGTGTATACCGTGTTTTGGTGTAAGCGGTGGTTTGGTGTAAACCGTGGTTGGTGTAAACCATGTTTTGGTGCAAGCCGTGTTGGTGTGGCCGTATGCGCTTGGGAGCTTGGGTGCTCGGTGCCGCTGCCAGGTGCGTGGCCGTGTGCGCTTTGGAGCTTGGGGGCTGGTGCCGCTGCAGGGTACCGCTCGTGGGTGCTGTGTGTTTTTGGCCGTGTGCGCTCTAGAGCCTGGGTGGTGTGGTTGGTGGAGGGCGCTGCAGAGTGCCGCCGCTGTGCGCTGGCCACAAAAGTCTTGTTGCTAGTGGGGTCAATGCTGGCGTATTTGAGGTAACTACATTGTTATTATGCTGCTTGGTGCGGCTTGGTGCTGCAGCTGCTGGTTGGTGGCGGTTCTGCTGCTACTGCTGCTGCTGCTTGGTGCTGCTGCTGCTGCTGCTGCTGCTGACGCCGCTGCTGCCACTGCTGCTGCTGCTGCTGCTGCTGGTGCTTTGCTGCTGCTGCTTTGCTGCTTCGCTGCTGCTGCTGCTGCTGCTTTGCTGCTGCTGCTTTGCTGCTACTGCTGCTGCTGCTGCTGCTGCTGCTTTGCTGCTGCTGCTGCCGCCGCCGCTGCTGCTTCTTTGCTGCTGTTTGTTGCTGCTGCTGCTGCTGCTTGTGCTGCTGCTTGTGCTGCTGCTGCTGCTGCTGGTGCTGGTGCTGGTGCTGCTGCTGCTGCTGCTGCTGATGCTGCTGGTGCTGCTGCTGCTGCTGCTGCTGCGGCTGCTTGGTGCGGCTTGGTGGTGGTGGTGCTGCTGCTGCTGCTTCTGGTTGCTGTTGCTGGGCTGCTGGGGTGCTTTTGCTAAGCTGCTGAGCTCTATCTAAGCTCTATATTTTTTGCCCACCTCCATCGCCTCAAATGAAGTGTACCTTATTTTTAATATATCTTCGATGGTATGTTGACGCGAGGATTGAGATTTGACCTCAGCGACCGCAGTGCGGATAAAGAAACTGCCACTGTGCTTCCGCTAGCTTTCGACTTCCCCCTGGCCTCAACCTGGGAAACCTGGACATTCTTGGCTTCACTTTCAAAGATGCCTTTTGGTATGCTGGGCCGTTTGTGCAGTATGATCCTGACAATGCTGAACACTTATGTCATCCAACAAGCTCAGACCAGACAAGCCTCTATCGCAGCTAATTTGATTTCTTCATCGAATGACGTCATCCAAGGCGTCGCCTACCTATGGTGGTAGGTCGACTCTGTCTTGCGCTGTGCATAAATATATGTTGCTGCAACACATGCTACTCTGATGCATAGCATGATGGCCACAATGTCCAAATATGAAGACCATCAACTGTGCAACCCTCTTTTGATGCTTTCCATCCTTGTCTCTTTCTCCCTTCATCATCTTCAAGCAGGCGCACGCCGGAAGGTGTTTCAACTTTTTTGCCCAGGTTTCACCCGAACATTGCCGACTTACCTACCTGGTTTTCTTCTCTTTCTTACCTATAGGATTCGGTGCGCAGACTTGGTGTTTGCACGTTGACAAACAAACTGACAGCCCTATCCAGGTCTACAAAGGAACTCAATTCCCTGCATTTCCTCAGGGTTGCTGCTTCATTTACTGGAAACAAATACCAAACTAAAGCGTATGTATGTTCATTACTTTTAAACAGATTCGATTGCAAATCCATAGGTCATATGTTTTAGATTGTTTTTTGGAAAACACATGACCAATCAATAAATCAGTTGATCTTCGGCAGGATTTTGAACCAAATTCAATTAGACACTAGTTGCAACTAGGGAAACCTATTTATATAACTTTGAAAACAATTAAAACATTTCTATTAGCAAAAACATAGAAAGCCTATAACTTCATTGCTTTTAAATGCAACTTCAACACGAACAATTTAACGTATTTGTTGAAGGATTTTATCAAGTTGTTAATAGGAAACAAATTAGTAGTAGAGACAAGGCTAGTATTGGCAGTAGTGGTGGCGACAGTCGTTGTTGTTGTCGTCCTAGTAGTAGCCAGTGGTTAATGGGAGTAAGTAGCCATAAAACATGTTGGAAACTTCCGCGCCCTGACTGAATAAGGACATGTTCTAAGGTGCATCAGTGTCAAGCCAACATGCGGAGTTGTTGGACCGGTTTGAAGACAGATCATTTTGAAACAATCAGGTTTTGAAGATCCGGGCTGCTGTCTGATTGATGATTTAGACGATATTGAATGCAGATGACATGCGTTTTTTCATCACGTGCTGCAGGAGATGCTTCATATGTATATAGATAATTTTTAACCTTGAACAACTTGTGGGACACCACTGCAAATGCCAATAGGCCAATAGGTGAGTCTGTGAGGGGGGTACCACATATATAAATGTATATACATACGTAGATAATATAGCATATAACATCTCTTCGCATATGTTTCTTATAGATCTACTGTACGTGATGTCAGTGTGGATGTGCATCCCGCAGGCGCTCGACTTTGTGTCCAGACTGCCACAGCTGATTCACGCCAAGACCTCTGCTGGAAACCCAGAAAACCACTCACGTTTTGCAAAGCCCTTGAGTGATGTTGGGACAGCTTCCACTTTCTCGCGCATGCACATATGAACAATCCATACTTCTCTTTACAGGTGTGCAGAACGGGCTTGATTGTGCACAACGCATACCCTTTTGTGGATACATTTGGGGTGCTTGCCAATATGTACAATGTGCGCGCACACACACACACACACCCCAACAAACTGAGAATTGGCGGTCGTATTACTGAAAAGGGCGCGCTTCAGTTTATTCACATGACATTGGAACACACAGGACAAGATGTGGCAAGCTGCATGAGGGTATGTGAAGGGCAGGATTTGGAACATAGATATGAGTTGGCCGTTGGTGCAGGAGAGGTTGCTAGTGCATTGATTTTGTACGGTGTGTTACTTGGGCAGGCCCAGTAGCTTGCAACACGCCAGCTGTCCACTGAGCCATCAATTGCCAGCATTTGTTTTAAGGACTGGATGACGAAGAGGTTGTTGGAGCCAGACTTAAGGTTTCGCAGCTTTTTTTGTTTGGATGTTTCGTTTCTTGATTTTTGCATATCTTTGCAGTGTTTTGGTTTCGCTGAGGTTTTTGTTCTTTTGAACCAGGTTGAGTTGTGTCAACGTTGCTGCTTGAGTTTGTGCTTCTAGATTTTGGAGGTACATTCAGAAAACAGCAGCTTTGTCAATAACAGACGGCTTGCACTGAATTTGGCAATTCCTGCATAGAAATTGGGGGAACGCCCTGCAAAGCCAAAAACGACTTCCGTAGTTGTCCAACTCTGTACATTGACACGTTGGGAGTGCACCAGTTTCACCAAGAGAGCTCGTAAACGAGCACTCAGTGAAGGGCTTGAAACCATTTCACCCGAAAAGGCCGAAGACACAATCGAGCCCTTGCTCCTTCAAAACCGTCTTAAGACAAGTCATCTGCACAACAATGCTAATTGGCAGCTGCACTGCACTTCAAGCTTTTGCTGGCCCTTTAAGTCAAAGCTGCAAATGACCAGATTCTCTCTGCGATTTCTGGCCTTCTTTGGGTGAAGAGATTTTGCAGCCAACAATTGAAACGGTTTCTTGCTGTTGTTCTAGTGTGCTCAGACATGCAACTTCCTCTTCAGACGGAGGATGCCTTTGTTTTTGGTGGGCACAGCTTGAGAGGCACAAGATTCACGTGGTGGACCTGGGGGAGCCGAGCTCTTAGCTATATAGCTCAGACGAGAGGTTACAGCTAGCCACAGCCCTGAGCCTTGAAATTGGTTCACCACCACCACCACCACCACCACCACCACCACCACCACCACCACCACCACCACC